TTTTTTTTTTTTTTTTTAAGAGAGCACATCTGCACATGTAAAGGGGAGGGGCAGAGAGAAAGAGAAAGAGAAAGAGAAAGAGAAAGAGAGAGAGAGAGAGAGAGAGAGAGAGAGAGAGAGAATCCCAACCAGCCTCAGCATTATCAACTCAGAGCCCGATGCGGGGCTCGAACTCAAGAACCGTGAGATCATGACCTGACCAGAAATCAAGAGTCGGAAACTTAGCTGACCGAGCCACCCCCAGGTGCCCCTGAAATAATTTTTAAATGCTATAAAAATCCAGAGTACTCTAAAATACTGACTGGAAACTATTTGAAGCACCTTAAAGAGAAACATTGAGAAAAATAATTTTTATACACATTTTATCTAATTTAGTAGAGAATCAATAATAACGATGCATAGAAAAAGCCTTAAGTTTTCTAGAAGCAGGGATAAAGAAAGAAAATAGTATATTTCAGTAGTTCCTAAACTTTGTATTTCATGGATTGCTACAATAAAAAATTAAGGGGTGCCTGGCTAGCTCAGTCAGTGGAGCATTTGACTCTTGATCTCCAGTTGTGTGTTTGAGCCCCACGTTGGGTATAGAGATTATTTAAAAATAAAATCTTTAAAAAAAAAATTTTTTTTTTTTAGTGTTTATTTATTTTTGAGACAGAGAGAGACAGAGCATGAACAGGGGTGGGTCAGAGAGAGAGGGAGACACAGAATCTGAAGCAGGCTCCAGGCTCTGAGCTGTCAACACAGAGCCCAACGTGGGGCTCGAACTCACGGACCATGAGATCATGACCTGAGCCGAAGTCGGACACTTAACCGACTGAGCCACTCAGGCGCCCCTAAAAATAAAATCTTAAAAAAATTTTAAGTTACCTAATGGTGGACTTTTTATTTTTCCAAGTAAAGATATTTTTTAAGGTAGTAATTGCTACTCTTATACCATAATTTAAGAGAAAGATTTCAATGATTATATACGAAACATATTTTCATGGCAGAAAATTTGAAAAAAAATATAAAGAAAATTCAAACCACCCGAATCCACTCTATGACAATCACTGTTAACATTTTAACGTATATTCCTTACAGTGTAAAATGTTAAGAAAAGTAATTCTCTCATACGCAGAGCCTTTCATACCTTCCCACCCACCAAAAACACACAGGAAGGTTAACCTTAAGTAGCCAGAGCTCTCTATCAGCCTCAGAAATTCTATGTTGGGCCTAAGTGGTAGACTTGTTAGAATTTATTCAGGTGATGTCCAAGTTATGGGCCAAACAGCCCTGGCTGAAATCACCAGTAACTGTTGGGCCTAGACCAGATCAGTTAATAAGATGCTCTTGTAATACAGAAGATGAAGATTGGCATTAATGATGATAATTTGCCTATCTTTAGGTATTTTTCAAACTGTGGGCCATAAGCCATTATTAATTTTTACTTTTTAAGAACACTGAAGAGTACAGAAAATATTACAGCGCATCACATAGTAAATACTGCTTTATGAAACTTCCATTACAATTACACATACATATATAAGAATATATACACACACACTGGGTCATCATGTAAAATGTATTTACTGTAGATATAAGAATAATAAAAAGTCAGGGGCACCTGGGTGGCTCAGTCGGTTAAGTGTCTGACTCTTCATTTCAGCTCAGGTCATGATCTCAAGATTTGTGGGTTTGAGCCCCGCATTGGGCTCCGTGCTGGCAGTAAGGAGCCTGCTTGGGATTCTCTCTCTGCCCCGCCCCGGCTCTCTCCCTCTCTCTCAAAATAAAAAAATAGAAACTTTAATTGTTTTTTAATGTTTATTTTTGAGAAAGAGAGAGCGTGTGCGTGAGAGAGGGAGGGAGGGAGGGGCAAAGAGAGAGGGAGACACAGAACCCAAAGCAGGATCCAGGGTCTGAGCTGTCAGCACAGAGCCTGATGTGGGGCTCAAACTAACGAGCCATGAGATCATGACCTGAGCCAAAGTCAAATGCCCAACCGACTGAGCCACCCAGGGGCCCCAATACAAACTTAAAAAAAAGTTTGGGGTGCCTGGGTGGCTCAATTAAGCATCAGGTCATGATCTCATAGTTTGTGAATTTGAGCCCCTTGTCAGGCTCCAAGTTGATAGTGAGGAGCTTGTCTGGGATTCTCTCTCCTCCTCTCTCTGCCCCTCACCTGCTCATGCTTCTCTTGAAATAAATAAATAAACGTTAAAAAAAATTGAAAACACTGATCTAAGTGACTTTAGCAAAGTGTTTTTCGCTATTAGGTATAATGCCAAAGGCCATATGTATGCCTGGAAGCTGAGAACCCACCTGTCCATTCCCCTCAATTAACAATACCCCCAGAGCCATAGGGTTTGCAGAAATGGAAAGAGCACCCTCTCAGGGATAACTTTGTGCAGAGTCCTCATTTTACATATGAGTACAAATAAGACTCGGAACAATTTAACAATCCACTAAGTCATACAGCTAGTAAACAATCCAGTCAGGATTCCAACGACAAGTCTTGACACTCACTGTTTACTATGGGTCAGGCACTCCTCTATTAACTCATTTATTCCTTCCAACAAGCTCATCTCAGTTACCGGGTCAGACAAATACTTAGTGGATTCAAACCCAGGCTCCCTGGCTAAGTCAAGGCTCCATGCTGAACTGCCTGCCTTTTGACTCTAAGTCCACTGTTCTTTCTGCTACGCCATGACATTTATTGTCTCGTTTTCTCTTGAACAAAAACCAACTTTCACCAACTGCAATACTAGAGAGAATGAATAGTTTCAGGAGCAGAGGAGTGGTAGGAACTGTCACCCCGACTTAGGAGAAATCCTCAGGGGTGCCTGGCTGACTTGGGTGGTGGAGAGTGTGACTTGATCTCATGGTTGAGTTCGAGCCCCACGTTTGGTGTACAGATTACTTAAAAATAGAATCTTAAAAAGAAGAAGAGGAAGAAGAAGAAGAAGAAGAAGAAGAAGAAGAAGAAGAAGAAGAGGAGGAGGAGGAGGAAGAAGAGGAAGAAGAGGAAGAAGAGGAAGAAGAGGAAGAAGAAGAAATCCTAAGAGGAGACATCCTCAGGGAGGGAAGTCCTGTCTGTCAGTCCCTGGACTCCCACATTTCCCTGCTGAAGCCCCACCTTTATATCATACTGTTGTGTCTTGTGAGGAATGCCTGGATAGGATATTGCTCTTTGTATATATCACAAATAGATCGCATTTACCTACGAATGCATTTACCTACCTAGGAAACTTTTACTAGCACAAAACAATTTTAAGATTGTATTCACATAGAAATACAATAAACATAACCAAAATGTCAAGCCAAGTATTACCTTCGTGTTTATTAGCTACTACTTCCTCTTTGTGATCTGCTTATTCTCTAGCATGCAAATAGTCAGTAAATGCTGGAAGTTTAGAGAAAATTTATGAACATAAGGGGCGCCTAGGTGGCTCAGTCAGTTGAGCATCTGATTCTTGATCTCAGCTCAGCTCTTAATCTCAGGATTCTAAATTTAAGCCCTGTGTTAGGCTTCATGCTAAGCACGGAGCCTACTTAAAAAAAAAAAAAAAACAAAACTATGGAGGCCCTTGGGTGGCTCAATGGTTTAAGCATCCGACTTAGGCTCGGAACGT